TATTTTATACGGGAAATTTTTTTTTCTTTTTTTTTAACCATCAGCAATTTTCTTTTGCGTTAAAAAAAAAAAAAAATTCTCGTAGCAAAAACCTTTTTGAAGTTTTTCCCTTTTTTTAAATTTAAAAAAAAAATATGTATTTTTTCCTTCCTCACCATCCCTCATTCTCTCTCTCTCCTTCAATTTTTTTTTTAAATTTTAAATTAGTCAAAAACTAAAAAAAGAAAAAAAAAAGAAAATTACAAAAGGGATTTATTTGGGTTTTTACGCTACAAAAAATTTCCTAACGTATTATTATTATTATTATTATTATTATTATTATTATTTATTCGCCATTTTTTTTTTTATTAATCGCCGCCATGAGTCCTCATCGTCATCGTCATCGTCGTCGTGGTCGTCTGCAATATACATTCTTTAATTTAAAAAAAAAAAAACGGGGAAAAAATTTTTTTTTTTGTAAATTCCATAGAGTAACAACAAGTAAGCGAAGAGGAAATTGAAAACATTTTTTTATCTATGGGTTATAATGTCACGCGTTTGAAGAAAAACATAAAAAAAAAATTATTATAAATTCTTTTTTCTTTCTTTTTTTTTTTTTTTTGAGTAAATGTACATAATCGACAGAAAAGAAAAAAAAAGAAAAAAAAGGAAAAAAAAGGTTCAATTTTAATTATATATTTTTCACCGACGTGGACGTAGATAATAATGACAAAGGAAAAAATCCTTTTTAAAAATGGCCGCGAGCCAATTCTATTAAATATCGACGAAACCTTTTCTTTTTTTTTATCGTTTTATTTATTTCATAATAAAAATTCAAATTTTATTTGAAAATCTAAATTTAAATAAAAATTTTTAACCGTTAAATTTTTTTTTTTTTATTATAGCAGAAGAAAAATAATTAATTTTTTTCGGAGGGGAAAGAAAGGGAGGGGAGAGGGGAAAACAAAAACAAGAAAATCAAGAAATCCTTCTGTTTTTTTTTCCTACCTTCTTCTTAAATGCGAAAATGGATGAAAGAAAAGTAAAGGGAGAGAGAGAGAGAGAGAGAAAGTGAGAGAGAACTTGAGAAAGGGAAAGAAAGAGAGAGAGAGAGGCAAAGAGATGTTTTAGTATTTAAATAACTTTAAAACAAACCTAATGAAATAATTTTTGATGGTTGTCAAAACCACAAAATTATAAAATGTTTTTTAAAACACGAAAACAAATTTTATATTTGTACTTGTTGCAGACGACATTTTCAACGAGGGAGGGGGGAAAAGAAATCAAAATAAACATGGCGCCATCGTCGATTATTTTTCGTTGTGAGAAAAAAAAAAAAAATTTTTTTTGTTAGACGTTAACGATATTTAAAAAAAAAAAATGGGGAAAAACGCGCGCAAATTTGTCGTGGTTTTAAAAGTAAACATTTAAATTAATATACGTACTTGACATTGAATTATATTTAATTGATAAATTTTTCCCAGGCATTGATTCGAATTTTTCCAAATTAATCAATTCCCAATTTAATAAATTTTCATTTAACCGAGGTTCAAATTTTGTACTTTTCGGTGACGTTTCATTCCATGCGATTTCATATTCCCACGAATTATCAAACGTCTTATCGAGAAAACTTTCGTTACGATCACCACCACCATCATCATCATTATCATTATTATTATCATCGTCGTCGTCATCGCATTGGGCGTAATTATTAAAACATTTATCGTTGAATTTATTTAAATCTTTTTTATTTTTTTTCCTTTTAATTAATAAATACTTTAATTTTTCTTTGTCTTGTAATTTTTTCTTCGATATTTTTTTCATTTTGTTAACAAAACTTTTTTTCTTCTTACACGATGATTTTATATTCGTTTCGTGATATTTTTCTTCTATTTCTATGGCGTCGTCGGATCCGGCAGCGGGACTTTGTAAAAAACCTTCGTTATTTATTCCAACGCAAATCCGATCATTTTCATAATCGCCATCGTCGTCGTCGCCATCACCATCACAATCGTCACCACCGTCATCGTCGTCGTCACCATCATCACATTTCCGTTCGTTTTTATCGTGACCCATGATGACGTCATTCAAATCCATATATTTTTTATTTAAACATTTTAAAAATTCTTCGGTCGGTGATATTATCGGTTTCGGTCTTTTATTATTTATTTGATTTGATTCGAATCCACCTGGACTTGGTACAAAAGCGTCGTTAACAATTCCCGCGTCTTCTGCTAAACCTGTTGTTGTCGTCATCGTCGATGCATTCGTTGTTGGTGATGACGATGACAACGGACTCGATACGAAACCGTCGTTTGAAAATCCAATTTTTAATTTCTCATCCAAAAACGTGACGGTTTTTTTTTTATTTTGAATATAATTTAAATCTTTATTAATATTTTCATTTTCAATTTTTAATTTATGACATTTTTTATTTTCGTTTTTTAATTTTTCCAAATTCAAAAGTTCATCTTTATATTTACACGTCAATTCTTTTATTATTTTGTTATTTAAATAAATTTCCGGTACAAAACATTTTTCATTATACTCCTTTTCAATTATTTTCTCTTTTTTTGTCGACGATATCGATTCTTTTTTTATTTTTTCTTCTGCTTCTGTCGTTGTCGTTGTTGTTGTTGTTCTTTTTATCGTCGATTCTCTTTCATCCGTCATCGTTGTTGCTCTTGTTGTCGAATAAAAATTTTTTTTTTCACGTGACGGCGATGCGACGACATTTTTTTTTATTAATTTTTTATCCGTTTCATATTTTTTAAATTTTGGTGTTTCATTGATTTTCGTGTCTTTGTTTAATTTAAATAATGATATCGTACCATTTCCCAACATTTTTCCCGTCTCCTCTTCTTCCCCTCTCCCCCGGCACAAACACACTTAAAAAAATTAAAAAAAAAACTAAAAAAATTTTTTGTGCGTCGACGATACGAAAAAAAAAAAATGTCTTCTTGTAATAATAATAATAATAATTAT